GGCCGCTGGAATGCCGCCCTTTGGCCCCGTTGCGCCGGCCTCCTCTCGCTTCGATCCCGGAGGGGACGGCCAGACCAGCCGGGAGGCTGGCCGAGCTGAGCTACCTCCGTCTGGGAGATCCGGGGCTCCGGCCGGGGGGGGTGCGCTGCCGGCTCTCCGGGCCTGGGACGCCACAGCGCGACGTCAGTGTGCCTTGGGCTGCCAGGACCCGGCGGAGGTCCCTCTGCTCCGTGGAGGTTGCCGGGCCGATCTGAACGTCGCATATATTGCTGGTCAGGGGCAGCGGAGAGCCCGCAGCTCTCCGAGGGGCCCTGGCTCCCCTCTCCCTCGCTCTCTCCCGCTCGCTCTTCCGCAGCGGGCCGTGCTGCCGTTCCAGCCCTTCCTGAAGGCTTGCGGCCACGCACCACCGCACCTCCCGTCCCGGGGTCGGGCCGAACTGCGCCCCCGGGAACCCGGCCGACGCTCTTCTGGGTATGAAGGGTCGGCCGGCCGCGCCGAAAAACGCCGTTGACGGAGCGCCCAGAGGGCCTCCCGGCAGGGCGGAGGGCCGCCACTTTTTTCCGAACCTACCGTCCCGGGGCTCTCCGGTAGGGCCAGCCGCAACCCGGGAGCGACCTTTCCGACACCTCTAGGCAAGGCTGGGCAGGCCAGCCGACGCTTTTCTGGGCATGAAGGGTCGGCCAGCCGCGCCGAAAAACGCCGTTGACGGAGCGCCCCGTGGGCCTCCCGGCGGGGCGGCGAGCCGTTACTTTCGTCCAGCCGCTCCGGAGCGGGGCTTGTCCAGACCCCAGGGGGAATCGCTCCAGAGCCTTGGGCTCCACCGTGTGGAAATGGCCGTATCGTATGGACAATTTATGGCTGTACTGATTTCTGGCAGCTGGAGTTGAGCTTGAGACCACCTTCCCCCCTATAAAAAGGCAAACCAGGGAGCAAGGGTTAAGGTCCGAAACGCTCTCATTGAAATAGGCACGTTTTGGGCCCAACAGACCCTGACGAGAGACGCTCCCGAGAGCCAGAGATCCGACCTTTCGCGGACCACGAAGTCCGAGGAAGAAATCTTCAGCGGGCGCCCACGCAACTCCGCCCGTCCGGCACTCACGGCGGGACCGGCGCCGTCCGCTGAGAGACTCTGTCCCCGGGCCGGAGGCCCCGGTCCCTCCCCGCCCGACGGCCCTTCGCAGGACGGCATTGGGACCGACCTGGGCAAATCGCCACCCCGGCGATACTCCCCCAGACCCCTCCTGCGGGGTATACTGCCAACCCTGGATTTCAAGTCAGTTTGGGGCGGCCCTCTCAGACTTGCAAACCAGCAGCTCATCCCGGGCCGCCGGGCGAGCGCCGGTTCACTCCGCCATCAGTCCCGGCGGGCTCTCCTCCAGCTGCGCCCGCTCCTCCTCCGCCGCCAGTTCTCGCCGGTCTCCTCGTCCTCATGGTCCGGCCCGCCCAAAGGCCGCCGGGCGGCCGGCCCTCCTCGCTATGAACGCTTGGCTGCCATAAGCCAGTTATCCCCGTGGTAACTTTTCTGACACCTCTTGCTTCAAACTTCGAAGCTCCAAAGGATCAATAGGCCACGCTTTGACGGTCTGTATTCATACTGAAAATCGAAATCAAACGAGCTTTTGCCTTTTTGCTCCGTGCAAGGGGTTTTCTGTTCTCGCTGAGCTCGCCTTAAGACACCTGCGTTACCCTTTGACAGATGTACCTCCCCAGTCAAACTCCACGCCTGACGCTGTCGCCAGAGCGGGTGGCGACCGGCGGCGCCGTGAGGCGGCCGACCGCGTAGCGCCAGAAGACTGGGCCCGCGCGGGGCCCGCTCCCAGCCCCACCGGCTAAGTAAAGAAACGTCGAGAGTAGTGGTATTTCAATGTTGGAGACCGGCTGCGGTTTTGGATACGACCCGAGGCGACGGTCCACGCACTCCCCCGCATTTTCAAGGGCCGGCCAGAGCTCGTCGGACACCGCCAGAGACGCGACGCTCTACGGGGCCGCAGCCCCTAGCACCGGACAAGACGATTCCAGGGATCCCGCCCCTTACCAAGAAAAGAAAACTCTTCCCGGGGCCCCAGCCGGCGTCTGCTGGCTTGCTTGCTTCGCAGCTCGGA